TCGAAAACGTATGTGAGCACCACCCACCTGCTGAATACCCATTTTGTGGTGCGGAAGTTACTGAAACAATTATATATGAAAAATCGTTTTAGAAGAGAAAGCGAGTTCGTTAAATGTTGGCAGTATAATGGCAGTTCATGAGTGATTATTATCGTATTATAGTGCAATAGCCATTAGAGCTCTCAAAATGCGTTGTGTAAAAAGTTGTCCTTCACGAGTTTTAGTTTAATTCACTGCATGTTGCCTCGTTCTTACCCTGCATGTCCTTTTTTAGCGTGATGATACGAAGACAGCGACCGACTTGGATTCCGTGCCTGTCATTCCCGAGACAATAAAGAAGAAAACGGCTAAAAATAAGAAGCCGAAGATAAGGGTATCTCCGTCGACTCGTGTACTGCGCGCACGCAGTTCTAACAAGTAAATCCGCTATCGGAGACTAGCTATTCGGTACAGTTGCGGTTTCGTTAGCTAATCAGTGTAGTAAAAAAACTTGTTTTTTTCAACTATAATTTTTTTCTATTGAGGTCGCTAGTTACGTAAAAGGTTTTTTATACGCATAAGGAAAACCAAAAATAGGTTGTAAATTGTATGAGGACTTGTATTATCAGTTTTTGATATTGTCTACGGTGTTTGTAACGATCTCAGAGAAGTTTGGGTACGAAATGTCTTTGTTCAGCGACTTCAACGCCATATCATTTGAGTTGTTGAGTTAATTGTTATTTTTTGTATTTACCAAGATGTTTTTTTTTGTAAGAAAAGCATTCTTCCACTATGAGTAATAAAGAGTTGGAGTAACTATGTTGAAATGCATGTGGCTTTCAAGATGGCGTTTTTTCATATTTTGACTGACAGGAGACGCAGGTCGATCCATTTATGTTGCGTTGTTGCAACGGATGTCTATGAAATAGCAACCGTTGAAACCTGGTTATCAAAACCCTGACCATGGTGAAAATGGTAATTTTCCAAATTAAAATTACATCTCGTTTCGTTGTTCCGGTTACTGGGACTCACTCGCCATGGCAGAGACCATCAACCTCGCGTAGATAACACATAGGTTGGAAATGTGAGAACAAGTTATGGTATTCGGTAGGAACCATCTGATTCTCTTAGACGACGCGGGTCTCATCCAGTAAGGGGGGGGGGCATTGTGATGCAACGTCAAGTGGCTGCCCTCACCCCCCCCCCTAGACTGCCTTCACTCCCCCTGGCTCACGGGGTCCCGTACTTCGAGAAACCTGTGCGCCAGGGGGAGTGTAGGCAGTCTAGGGGGTGGGCAGCCACTTGATGCCCCCTTACTGGATGAGCGACAAACGCAATCGAAGCAGTAGCAGTGAATATTCCGTCGTCACGATGGGTGTGGTTCACTAGGAACAGAAAGCGACTTTTTCGCCGTTTGGCACCGAGAAACAATGTTCGCTGCGGGAACCTTTGGTCTACTGGTGATCAGCGGTGAATTTGAGGTTCCTGCAGCGAACAATGTTGTCTGCAGCTGCGCTTTCTGGCGCTAGCTGAACCTCTACCCCGTCACGACCCAATGAAAGGGGTTGAAAGGGTGTGGCTACCCAAACTACTGATTTGCAAACTAGGTTTTTTCGGGCTAAGATTGAGGAGGCGAACTAATAGGCGGGGTAGTGCAACAAATCTATTTACTGACGCATGGTTTATGAATCTCGGCTGGATACTCAACGGCAATTTACGGTTGTCGGTGCAGTTCGCCAGATTGATGAAGCACAGACTAGCATTTATGATTTACATGAAATAAATTAACAACTTCACAAGTTTCGCAGTGTTAATATTAGTGCATTTTGTTATCATAATAGACGAAATTCTGGTGAGAATTACAAAAGAACAATCAGGCAAAGAAAGAGTAATAACCCGCAAAAAGTGCACAACAATAATGAGATGTGTCATAAGAGTTCCGGAAGTTTGGGTTCATGTTGCCAAAAATGGACTAGAGGAAGGATGACCAATACAACCGCTGTATCTTAGCAATGACCATTCGTGAGTCCTCTCACGCACACGATCCCCAAAAAGATACGACGGGCATTTGGACTGAATGGACAAAATTTCTCGATACTGGATTTTGGCCGTACCAGAGGAGCCGACCTATATGGACATCCCGAACATTTGCAGATTACGCCCGTGAAAACACACGATCGCCATTACATTTGTACGTAGCTGGGCAGTATTGTTCATCGCCCAACGTAGCTTCAAAGTTTGGCGAAAAATTTTAATCATCAGCAATCCTCAGTGAATCTTCTGGACTGTTTAGATCGTCATCAATTTGCATAGCGTTCGGATCAGGTGATGGAGATCTAAAATAAGAAGCTAGGAAGATAGGAAGCTCAGCTACTCTAGTTAAGTAATTAAAGCAAACCAAAGTATCAGGAAAGGAGTGGAATACACATTTAAAAATGGTACTTCTGATTACCCTGTGATAAAAGACTTCTATAACCGCATTTCAGGGGCAGGGCATTTTTGCGTAAATTTGATTATTCTATGTGAGAATATTAAAGTAATGAAATAGTTATAGGGTCTATTCCAGTTAGGGCATCATGATGCAGTTTTTCCAGAAAGCTAAGGTAACTCCGAGCCAGGGGAGTGTAGCCAGTCTAGGGGTGGGGTGAGGGCAGTCACTTGACATGCGTGAAAAGCTGGAATGTTCAAGTTTACACGCTAGTTCGCCGAGAAGCTGCGTCATGATGCCCCCCCTAACTGGAATAGACTCGTGGTCTCTTAAATTGAAGACTGTGCTAGTTCTTTGTATGCAACGCCTTTCAGTAGTATGCCAAACAGAAAATGGACTAAGAAACCAATTCTTAAAACCAAGCCATGCAAGACCGATCATGCTCAACTCTTACCGGATACTTTGAGTAGGAATGTGTGACGGTGGACGTATCCAAGTGCCGCCTCCAGTGGGTGTAGCCTGAGGTGGCGGTGGACCTTTCGGCAGTGGTATTGATGACATGCTTCCCCGGAATGGAGGTGCACCAATCATAGATGGCCTTCAAAATATATTTTGGGGCTAATGACACCACTGATCGAACATCTCACTTTTCAGAGCTGTAACTCTGGGATGAAGCTTATTATAATATTCAATATTACTGTGGCCTAGCGATAAATTTATGTGGTTTCATACAGTCGTATCTTTACTTAGCATTTAGATCAGGAACTTCCTGAACAATAGCGCTCACCTTCTGTCTCTGGGATCAGGAAGCGTTGGCGGCTTTCGAAGTGGACCTGGCACTGGAAGTCCAGCTGGCCCTGCCGGGGGAGTGCTGAGAAGTGGTTGACGAGCGCAGGAATGATGATTGGGAGTGGTGGTACAGGCGCTGAATTTTTCCCTTCGAGGCATGATGTTTTTCCGCCGTAATTACGGAGAGGGTTAGGTGCCGGTGCTAAAGTACTGGCATTTAATAACTGAACAACTGGCAAAAAGAGAAAATAGGATAAAAAAAAACGGACTAGGCAGAGGTGGTGGAGTTGGTGTGACCTGCTGTACTGGATTCGACGGTGGTGCTTCTCTTTCTTTCGTGGTTTCTTTCACCTCTTCACGCTTCAAAGCAAAACGTGTATTACAAACTACAAGTAAACTACACAAACTAAACGGAGCTAAGAAATTCCAGATATCGATTAAATTAACAAAATCGAAGAAGTAAGATGAGTGTTTTACTGGTTAACGCGCTATTCAGATTTTTACCCCATAATTCGCTATTCAGATTTCTACTCATTATTCTCTATGAATTTCATTACTGCCATTTAGTAATAAATATAACTAACCTTCGGAATTTTAAAATTCTTCAAGCTGCCGACGAAACCAAATGGCAGCGGTGCAGTAGGGGTAGTTTTTGATGAAGAACTGCCTGCGGCGGGACCACCAGTTGCGTTGGCATCGAAAGATGAAGATGCACTCATCGTCTGAAGAACTATTTTGTATTGGAAGCAGTTCAGGAAGTGATTTCTTGACAAAAAAAAACGACTTTATCACATGACACCACCAATTCCCTACTATTCCCATTATTAAGAACTCTACAGTCGACTCAAACTTTTTTCCTTTTCACAAGTTTCCGTAGCCTTTCTGTTTGGTTAGCTGTGCTGTCAAACCCATTTTGATTTAGGAGGGAGGGAATCACTTGGGAAGCTAAAAATCATCAGAAGCTATCCACATTTCCACTTGGTAAGCAACAAAACAACCCGATACCGTTGAACTGACCTAGATATACCTCATACATCTAATTCTATTTAAAAGAATTCCCTAGATTATGCTATCATTAATCAAGGCCGCCAATCTTGAACGAGCTTTTTAAGCCTCCTATTCATAGAATGAGCAAATTCTTTGCTAGTGCTTCCTACAAAAGTGGAGTGACATTTTGTGACAAACGCAATCACTTCACTTTGGCTGCATAGACTCACTTTGTGCCTCTTATGCTCGCGGTCCTTCTCCTTTCCTTCAGCCTTTCTCTTCTGACGCCGAGACTCGTCCGACTTGTCTTTGGACCTCTCCTGAGAAAAAGAGTTAGTGTTCAAATATCATTCTTAAGAAATCTGCTGCTTGTGCTTCGGGTTAACAGTTTCGCTGTCTCCATCCGAGCTACAAGACAAGTAGCCATGCTGCTAAGCTAGTTACATATGTCTAAAAGCAAAACCTTGTGCCCTTCTTTTTTCTCCTTATCTCGTTTCTTTTCTTGCTTCTCGAGCTTTGGCATCGACTGCATAGGAATCGACTTGGTCTTCTGTGCGTCGACTGACGGAGATGCTCTTGATGGGACTTTTGGAATCTGGAAAAAAGATCGGGGTGTACATAACAGAGGAAAAAGAGAAACGACCAATCTACAATGCAAATAACAGAAATTCTAGATTGAGCTTTGTTTTTACAAGAAAACTTACTTTTAATATCAACTTGCTGGCGCCTTCTATCTTCACTGTCGGTGTGGTGTTCTGCGATCCTTCAGCTGAAGACATCTGCTCTCGTCCTGTTTCCGAGGAAATTCTCGGTGATGACGTGCTTGCCTGAAAACCATTTCGATAG